GGTCTTCTTCCTACTTTCTTTAGTCGTGAACACCTCAAAAGTCTCAGTGGCTTACGAAGGTCGAACTGTGTTCATATCGGCACTCGTTAGAGGCTCAGATTTCCTGGAGCATCCAGCTATAGGTTGTAGGCATTTCATGAATCCTCTACGAAGAAATCTTTTTAAGGATCGCCCTCTCGACTAGGATAAAAATAACATTATTACGGTCTTCATGTACCCCATGAGGTAAAGTTACTATCATATAATAAGTGATTGTATCAAACCGTCAATATTATCGATAACACTATTAACTACTGATTTTCTATCCATATATGCTCATTATTTTTATTAAAAATGTCTGACATTAATAGGTAAGCTATAATTTTTGTATAAAGTAATCCTTATAGTTTTCAGATTTTATTTGAATATCAGAAGAACCTAACTGACCTATTTAAAACGTTTTAGGGCCTACGGTGGCTTATCTTATTCCATTTTCACTGTATTGTCATTGGAAAAATAAAAACTATTTGTAAGTCTCACCATGATGACTATATATAATTTGTTAAATCCTGTAACCTACAACCTTCGACAAAATTGACAAATATTCCCTCAGTAATCGTTCAGTAAGAGTTTCAAACTTCTTTTAGGTTAATGTAAAGAAAGCATTTGATGTTTTCTAAGAGGAGATAATTCACGATTTTTTACTTAGGTGTATAGAATTCAATTGGTTAACCACCCAATTTCTCTATCTACCACTGATTATAAATTCGGCTCGTCTCTTCCACGGATGTGAAATCACAGTTTCAACAAATCCAAGTTTAAAATCATATAAGTTTAAACTGGAATGATAGGTGATCATACTTAACATTGTTACTAGCAACTAATAACAATATATTTCATTGATCCATATTTCTGTCAGTAAGCTGAGCTAAATAATTAAACAATCACAATATGTCCACTCTTCAAATTATAACGCATGTACATTTATTTACTACTAAATGTAAACAAGTGCCAAGAAAACAATGCAAAACATTGTAACACTTAAACGTCATATGAATGACCTTATATCAAAGAAGGACATCTATCATTAAAAAAAAAATACAATTTTTGTAACATATCTTCAATTTAAACCAATTCAAATGATTATGTTTCATGATTCCACTAGAATATTCTAAAATAAAATCATCAGGGACAGTTTGAGATGAACCAATAAAACAAAACTTGAACTTTTCTCCACTTTCTGTTAATGACAGATGTCTGCCTGACATCAAGCTACACAAATGGTTCCTTTCTGTTTCTTCCAGATTCTAATAAAATTTCCATTATAAAATAAATAAATGAAAATTAAAAACTGAATCCGCTGCTGTTTACGGAGATACAAATAATTATAACACAAACTGTATCGCAGTTTGAAGTTGCGTGTGAACGTATCGGTTGGAGTATCGTTTCAAATGGTGTATAGTTATGTGCACTAAAGTCTGCATAGTGACTTTGATGTCACATATTCTGCCTAAAACACGAGTAGTTAATCCTTGTCACCTCAAATGAATAATTCTTGAATACTAAATAATAATAATGAATAACAGAGATGTAACTTGAGATTTTCTTCATGTCGCCACTCCCTCTCTCCAGGAAAAATAATTAATTTTATCCTTACTCTCTTGGGGTTCTACTTTATCTCCTTACATTTTTCGAACTCTCTCCAAATCATTTTTTTTATTCATTTGATTGACAAGTTTCCGTTTCATAATGCGCCTCCACAGGCTATACGTCACATTTCAATATCAATTGAATATAAATACATCATTCTGTATATATCTGGATTTACTGTATACTATTGGAAACCAATTTTATAGTGATCAAAGCATTTTATTTAATTAAAAATAATAATTATGTACTATATTCATGTTTCATTAAAGTAATCGCTTACAATAACAGTTATCTAGCTCAAAGAAATGTTTCCTGTTCATGATTGAAGTAACGTCAAGTTAAGGGGAGACTCGTTCTTAAGCTGTGCCTGACCCGGACTGGGATCAATATTTCCCATAAGCCTCCTTAAAATAATGGAACATATTTCAGTACTTTTGATCCTGAAACATGCGCACTTTATGTTTTTTTCAAAATCTTTTTATTTACATTTATGAGATATTTAAAACATGAAACATTAAGCTTTTAAGAGAAATAGAATTTGTGCAAATTGAAATGGTTCTACAAGCTCTTTTTCCCACAGCTAATTAGGCTCTATTCTATCCTATTCTTTTATTGGCCAGGAACCCAATACTAACCCTTGATAAAAGTCCAATATGTCCAAATTATTAGTAATTTTAACCCAAGACCGTTAGTCGTATTGCTCACTTTATATTAACAAACTAAATAAATATTACAACTTTAAAACGGTTTATCTCTAACTCCTCCACGATAAAACATTTCACAACTTCACCAGTGGCAGAGAACATCACGTTGCTGGTTGGACTTATCGATCCGTGCAACGTACCAACAAAATAGTTTACCTCCTAACTTGTTTATCAGCAACCACATTACTTGTCTCCTCAGCCTCGTATCTTTCATTGAAATACATGTCTATAAAATTGTTTGGCGCATCTTTTAATAATTACAATTATTAAACAATAATAGTTATCTACCCGCGCTCCACATTTGTACAGCGATATAAATATCGAAAAGATATATAGGGCCACAATATTTTTAATATTTGAAAGAAGGAAAGGATTAACTCTGAACTCTAAAATCCTATACAAATATTAAACATTTATTACTCAACATAAAAAAAAAAAATATATTAAAAAAATCTAGCGCTGTATGCGCATCACTTAACTAGTTCAGCAAAGTTATGGGGGAAAACAGCCTTAACCCAACATTAAAAAAATAAAGATGGAATTTGTCAGAAATTGTTTATAACCCTCCCCATAATAACTGGTTAAAAGTCCCAAAGAATCCCTCGTCGGGTTTTGACGAGGAGAACGACAAAAACTGATATTTTTTTTAGTTTATTGAAAATATCTGGTGACTTAATTTTATCGTAACTTCCAACTTTTTTATTTACGAAAATAGAGAGAGCATTGAGTGAGATACTAAAAGCACATGAACATTGAAGGCTTTTCACTTAAATCTTTCTATAATTTGATTAAAAAAACAGAGAAAAAAAGTGACGTAAAAAATATATTCTCCACTCCAACATGAAAAAATGTATATAATTCGTTAGAGACCAAACGGCCCAATATTTTTGTACGCCACTTTTTTCTCGATTTTGAAATCAAATTATCCTACGATTCAAGTGGAAAGCAAACGGGTATTAATGAGTTTATTCATATGAATTACAGTTTCATATAACACTTTGTTTTTGAGCTCGGTTGTTCACATACACACACACACATACCCAATTTAATTAGTTGAGGCGTTGCCCGCTCTCGAGTCCAGTTTAACACTCTGGAGTCTAGCGGTGCCGGTTTTAAATCCGACTTGGGCGGGTTAATAATTACATGTATTTCATAATAGTCTCTTGGAATAGATCTCGACCTTCCCACTTAGAAAAGGTTTGACTGTACCTCTAAAAATTAGGTTTTTTTAATTCGTTGTTAAGGTCATAATTAACTTATCTTTGGTTCATAATATGATAATTGTTGTATACCAATTAAATTGTTAGTCATACTATTTTGGCGCAATTAAATTAATAATTTTTAACCAATTATTCAAAATCAAATAATTTCCGTTATTGAACTCCAACCTTAGAAGTTTGCAAAATATTATGGTTCAATTAAAATTATAAATATTTGTTACTCTATAAATTGTTTTACTTTTTCTTTAAACATGACTCTAATTTTACTGAATTTTTCTTTTTCTTTTTCATTGAAACTATACTAGCATTGCCTAAAAATCCTAGAATGATTATCCTTTCTATTCTATAAAATGGGTATTATTATTAGGGTATTAGGATAGGAAGTTCTATCCCTAGAAGAGGAAATGGTTATGAATTTTAAAAATATTTTCAACATCCCAATCCTTAAGAATTTCATTGATGGTGTAAGGATTTGTGTATTTAAATTAAATTAAATGTGCCAAACATTCCCAAATAAAATTAACTAGATAGTGAATTAGTTTTTTTTCTTTATCTGATATTTACAATTGTAATGCAATTCTTGTCCACCAGTAAACTTAAATTCCATTCAGCTTCCAATCTCTGACACAGTCTGGTACCTTGGCTTTCTTTTAGAACGAAGACTAACATGGAATCATCATACTAGACTCAAAAGACAATACGGCCAACTATTCAGACTACTGAATAGAAAATCTAAACTTTATATTGAAAAAAAATTATTTATCTACAAGACAATCCTGAAACCTGTATGGACACAGGCAACCCCCACGGGCTTGCAATGTGGGGGACAGCAAAATTTTCTAATATCAAACGCATCCAATCCTTTCAATCTAAAGTCCTTCGAACAATAGTTGATGCTCCATTCTATCGCTGAAAAATTCTCAAAATTTCATCAGAACCTTACTTATCATCCAAACCCCCTTGCACAATTCTTATTAGTGAATGGATTCTGTAAATACTGTATAAAATTATGCTTGTGTTTAAGTTGTTATTTTGATTAGTTTAGTTCTTTTGTTTATATAGATTTATTTTTAGTATTATTATTTTTCTGTATTATTTATTGTAAATAGAGTGAATGTGCTCTCTGAACATTATTATAAATGTCCTTAATGGTGACAGATTGTAATATTTTTCAATAAATAAGCTATTTAAAAAAACAAAACAATAGTAATGAAAATAAATAAATGGCTTGTCTGATTAATATGGCTTAACAATGTTTTTTTTTTATAAACTGCTCACTCGTATCACGTAAATTAATAAATTTGGTAACATGATATATCACAAGACAAATATTCTTCCTGTCAATTTGACATCTGTTGCTGTCATCCATAGATAGATAATATCTGCCACATAATTCTTAATTTTATAATTTCAAATAAACATGAATATATAAATAAAATATATTTGTTTCAGAAAACCAGAAAAAAAATGCTAAGCAATATAGCTAGTTACCTGTTGGGTTTTGGAAGTAGTCCAGCTCCTGAAGAACCTGAAATTAAGGTGACAGCAGTCGAAGCCGAGGATGACTGGCTAGTTGTGAACACTCTCCGTAAGTATTCTTATATAATCATAATACTTTAGCTTATACATATTAAAAGTTATATAGTCGTGAAAGAAGATAATTTTTCCTCTTAAAATTTAACTCTAAAGAAAAATCCATTTGATCCAAAATACTTATAATGCAGTTTAAAAAAAATGAAGATAACTAAATGTTAGGTAAAATCCATGAACCAGTACCCTCAGAGCATCTTTAGCTCCTAATCTGTAATAACTATGCCATTCATATTACCAATTATTCTAATAAGGGATGCATGAAGTAAATTAGATAATGCTAATAATCATAATAAAAATAAAAATAAAAATAAAAAAGTAACTTTTTTTTTTTAGCCCGAAGCAGAAATCATAGCCGGTCTTCCTCACTAGACTCTGCAGTTGAAGAATCATGGTTTGTAACTCCTCCACCATGTTTCACTTCAACAGGGCCAGTAACAGTAGAGACGTCACCACTGGAGAACTTGCTTATTGAACATCCCAGTATGTCAGTGTACAGGCGAGCAACTGGACTGACAATTACCCCCAGCCCACCAACTCCTCCACCATCTCCACCACAACCACAACCACCAGCTGTTCGGCCACCATTGAGGCCAGCTCCAGTCAATACTCCAACAACACTTCCACCACCACCATGCCTCCTCAAGAAAGCTCAAAAGGTAGTTAGTTACTTCTAAACATTTTAGCTTAAACTTCTCTTAATAAATAATATAGTATTTAGAGCCTGCACACCTGGCTCCCATTTTGCCTATTTTATTTTTATTAGCTAATAAAAGTTGACTATATCATTTATGACACTATAATAATAAAGTACCTAGAAGATATAGGACACTGTGTTAGATTTCCTAAACTTTAAAGAAAGCAGTGGACTTAATGTTCTTATAATATCATGTATATTTTCTCCTCATAATTGATGTAAGACATAGTTATCTATGCCTTTGGGTACATCCCTCATAAATATAAATGCAAAATAATCCTGAACTGGTATAAAATGGACATTGTGTCAATCTTATACCTCCAAGGTACAGAATTATGTTAGGTTTTTATGAATTAATAATTTCTGTTCTATTCTAGGCTCAAATCATAAAGGAAAACCAAATGATAAGAACTAAACACTTGGAGCGGGGGAACAAAACAAGAGAAGTTAATAAACGGAACAAAATACCTCGCCGCTCAGATCGCCAAAAGAATCATTCTGGAGTCAATAACAATCGCAAATGCTACTAGTCATCTCCGTCCAGCAACAACCAACACAGACTGCACACAGTACTAACATAGCACACTCATATAGCTTTTTAATCACTGCCTTGTTCAGCTGGTCGATGGTATTAATGTAAAAAAAAAAAAATATAATAATAAAAATAAGTATTTTAATGAGGCTTCCTCTTAAGACTTGTTTCAACTAAAAACTAAATAAAAATTCTATTTAGAATTTAGCATAAGTTATTTATTGTTAAGATAGTAAGATAACAAAAAATTCTTTTCAAAATGACAAAACGTCTGCATTAATATTTGTTCAATCAGACTGTCATTGATCTTAGCTATACATGTGAAATTATATATAATCCTCTATTTACTGGGGCATTCAATATTTGATTATAATAATCAATTTGTATATATAAACTTATAATTGAGAAGTTTAGAAATCGTTGCATATCTGTTTTAAGAAAGAGTACCAATTTTCGTATAAAATAATAATTAATTATTCAGAAATAAAAAGGATCTTTTTAGTATCCCACAGTCTTTCATTTCAGTTCAAATATAAAATATTGTTAAGAGATAAGGGAAATAATTAAATAAAATGTAAACAAACAATTTAGGAAATTTATTTAATCTTATTTGTTTAATCATTGATGTTACTAAATATATATATTTTTTTAATGTTTATTTTATATCTTATTTTTATTCAACATTTTGGCAAAAATGTAAATAATGTTTCTTTGATTAGTTAAAAATATTTTTAAGTCAACATTATAATCTTATTTAGTTTAATTTGAACTATCATATTCAGGGAATCAACATAAAACTGATAAGCCAATAAACTAAAAATCACTAAGTGCCTTGAAAGGCAAGTGTAACCAGAATGAAGTTATAATGAAATTCAATGAAATTGTAAACTTTCTGCCTAAATATTATATTATAAATTTATGTGTACCAGAGGTGTTCAATGTGTTCCAAGATATATATTTATTTTTAGGTATTCAAGCAATACTCCAATTATAAGGAAAAAGGAATGTTTAATAAGTCACATACATGATTATTCATTGTAAAGTTTAAAAATACCCATCATATGTATGGATTGTGTGGACAATAACACTTAATTTATTAGTATCCATGAAACATTTTTTTTTTTCAAAATATGGAGTCAGGGTATGATGAAATGTTTATTTAATTCTCCTAAATAATTATGAAATGGCCAATTAAAATTAAATACCAAATGTTTAGGTAAAATATTGCTATTAATAGAGAAAATGGTCAGATATAGCAAGCAACATGAAAGATATTAACTATCACTGACCCGAGTTGATTAATATTTAAGAATGTAACAAATTTTATGAGTGAGGGAGATGAATGCCTGTATTTATGTATGTTGTGATGGTAGTTTTTATTTGTGTAAAATTTTGGAAATCTATGGAAATGTTAGTTGTTTGGATATAAAGCACAGAAATTAATAAAAGTAGGATGAAAAAAAAATGTCTTTAAAAAACAGATAACTGCTTTACAACTTATTAAAGATCATGAGAGAAGCAACAATATCATGTTGTTGAATTTAATGTAATCTACAAAAAAAAAAAAATATCATTGTTTCTGAGGTGATTCATTTTTTTTTTTTAATATATATTGAAACTACAAAAATCAAAGATTTCAAACATACATCAATTATTATAGATTTTGTAAACCTAAATTTGACATTATTTTTTATTATTTCTAAAAGAGCAATCTTTCAGAACATACAATAATTAATTATTGTACATTTGACCCTAAAAAATGTTAAATATAATATTTAATCCTTTTTAATTATAAATAATTAAATGTTTCATTTACTAAACAGGCAAGGGTTTGCTCCCACTATCATTAAAGACCAAAAGAATAGATATCATAATTTGCCATTACAGATGTTTTCATACATTACTCTTAAGCCAACCTTACACAGTCAATATTATTGAAGCAATATTATAGTATGTGGTATACATATCACAACTGCCAATGTAATTGTTAGAATATGTCCCTCAGACAGTCAATACATTCGATGTCGACTGTGTAAGGGCCCCTTTTAAGCTTAAAAACTGAGTCACCAAATTGATCATTGGTCAAAATTAATAGTGCTTGTATTGCAACTTATATCAAATATGAAGAAAACATATAGATATAAAAAAAAATAATAAACCCTCAGAACCATGATGCATATCTTAGCATAATAATACATGAACTACATTGTTAGTTTAAAATTTAATAAAGTGCATTATTCCAGAACAACTGACAAGACAATTCTGCCAACATCAGATGATCTCATAGTTAATAAACAAACCATTTCATAAGGTTCTTTTGATATAATTTGATTACTTGATTACCTGATTAATTATAACTGTAAATAATAGTCCTGAATGTATGCTTCAGTGTTGTACATAAAAAAAAAGTTGTAATTAGGGATTCTATGATCTATATTAAATTTTAATTGATTATATAGAAACATAATTAAAAGTTGTAAAAGTTAATGTTTTAACTATTAAATATCATATTAAATAAATTAGAATATAGTTTTAATAATTGTTCAGAATGTTTCTTTAGTACGAATTAAAAATGTTACTAGTAATAATAAAAAAAAAATATTTCAAGTCAATTTTATATAGTTGATATGTGTGCTGTGGAACAAATATATTTCAGTTTTCATAATGTGAGAACTCCTGTTTGAGATGAAATATAATAAATAAAGAAATGGTTAAATCACACATTAGTGTTCATCAACAACCTGCTTATAAACTTCATTTTATTAATTATCACAAGATTAACTATGTGTCATTAAACATGTGAAATGACTTTTTTTTTTTATTTAACACCTCTGCCATTGGTTATTGGACCATTTGGCTTCTGGCAGTCCAATACGATTCCGCCATAACAGGTTTCTTCGATTTGTTGATTGTATTTGTGCCCGTCCCATCAAGAAGATTACGTCAAATAATGTGTAACAAGACATAATTTCAACAGACATCAATACATCAATTCTCACCTTAACAATATAAAATTATGTTCAACATTAGTTTTACAAAGAGCCATGGGTTAAATAGAAGTTCTATTAATATTAGCATAGTAAAAATTCAGATTCATAATTTTTTACTATAATAATATACAGTGAATAAAGTAATATAATTCTATAAAGATAAAAGAAAGTCAAAAGAGTTAAAACTCATACTTACATACTTACATTTATGGTTTATATCATACTTAGTATTAATAGGATGGTATTGTTTGCTGATGGAATCTTTTTTTACTGCATAAGATGCAAATTAAGGGTATAAGAAGGTTACAATTTGTGAAATGTTATGTTAGCCTCACTAGTCCTAAAAAGGGGATATGTCAAGTATTGTAAGTTTTAAAAAAGTTTGGTACACCTGTGTGATGTTCTGTCACTGTCTGTAGTTCTAAGGTCTTGTGGAGTAAGTCTGTTATTCTCTCTAGTGAGGTGTCTTACACATTATCATTACTTATTAATGATAATCATTACACTTTCATACACTTCTGTGGAAAATTCTGGAGTTTACTTGTTAGCAAAGGCATTCCATGAAGAAGGACCAGCGTTAAGACACTTGTATACTTTAATAGTTTGAGGCAGAGAGATGGATTTGACGATGTCAACATACGGTTAATTTTGCAAGACTTAAATCTTCCTCAACCTGATCTTCTGGCAGTGGTGAAATAGTATCTATTGCCTGTCCAGGGTGACACCAAAAGGCATTATTCTGTCTGAAGACTTAATAATTTTGCCCACTACCCTATATATCTCAAGAAGTCGCTGCCAGCTTTTCTGGAAGGAGAAAATTATAACAGTCAGTCTTCTTGGGATTAACTATTTAGCTATTATTATGGGGTTAGCTCTTCCAATTTCTTTGTGATTTCTTTTGAATCTTCCTCCACCTGTCATACAGCTCTCGTTGCATTCAAAAATATATAGTTAATTATAATATCATATACTTCTTTCCAAGAGTTTCATCTGTATACTGATAACAGTGCTGGGGCTAGCACAAACCATTGGAGAACATCGAACATTAGAGCTACTGCAGAAAAGACCGCAGCAGTGTATAGATATGCTCTAGAACCTCATTGTCCTAGTGTCTTTCATAAAACCCCATGAGTTGAATTTAATGCTTCCGTGCATTTGTTGTTAAAATCATTGTGGTCATTTCATTCTTGGCAGTATTTCTGGCAGTATTACATTACAATACATGCAATTTTAAAGCTGTTGAAAACGAAATCCTCGAGCCCTCCAACCATGTTCCTTCCCTTATTGAAAGTTTTGTGTCATAAGTCCTACAAAAGCATCTCCATTTGGCCTTCCTGGTTAACTTCATTCAATGACCTCGTTCACACAATTTCACGTCGGCAAGTACCCCAACATTTTGAAAATATTGAATTGCCTGTTCTTCTGACCGGTGGCATTTGAAGGCGGCAAATCCCATATTCTAAAAAAATCCATAATATGACAAAAATAAACAGGAAAAAAATGAAAAATAAACACAAAGAGGCCACAAACTAAAAAAAAAAAGTAAAATAAACACAAACGGGCCAACAACTAAAAATAATGAAAAATAAACACAAACGGGCCAAAAGTAAAGAATTTAATAAGTGAACATAATAAGGGAATAACTGAAAACTAAACAATGCAATAACTCAAAGGTTTGGCGAAATAAGAAGAGGGAGGTTATATGAGGTGATGTTAGATAAGATAGATAAGAAGTGAGGTTTCAATCCGGCCCGCTAGACACAAAGTACCCAAAATCTTAAGTCAATAAAAACTTTGAAGAGTTATAGATCTATAAATTTGTACTTGCTGTAATTATTTTTTATATTTTACACAATACTTGCTGTGTTTTTTTTGTTTTTTCGATAAGTAAAATTGAAATTCACAAAATGAATTTTTGCAATAAACTGACTATATCAATGTGAAATTATTAAATTAAATTTCATAAGCACTTCAATTTTACACATATGCATTAAATTTTTAGTTATTTAAATTACAAACGATAAGTACAAAGAAAATGTACACCATTTTTAACTCCTACTGCTGAAGAATTATGGATTGTACCATGTTATTTATATAGTCTAGTCAATGAATGATTATAGAAAGAAATGGCGGAGAGAAATTGTTGACTTTGGAAGATTGTTTGGACTAGTAAGATGGTAAATATATTAAAAGTCCCCAATCCTAGGTGGTGAGTCAGATGTGGGAGACGCCTAGGTCACTTTTTTCAGGTTTACACTTATATCAGAAAACTATCGCATCGAAAAAGATGTTCTATACAAAATTGATTTTGATAAAATTAGATATAAAGTTAGTCAGCGAGAAAAATTTCCTGCGGTTTAAGGATTTCATATATGGATGGAAGAGGGCGGTGGGGCCCGCTCACTTCCGTATTGGTGCCCACAGAAGAAGATGACAAGCGCCAGAAAAACCTCCAGATTCTGGAAGCTCAAATATCTTCAACGGTTCAAAATTTAAATCAATTCTAACTTTATATGTCAATTCCAAGAATTCTTCTTCTTCCGGCACTACAACTCAGTGGTGAGTCACGGCAGCAACATCTACCACCTTCTCAGTTCGTTGCCACAACCCTCCAGTTTCTTACTGGATATACCTTTCCTTCTCTCCTTCTGGCCTATTAGCCGGCACAAAAAAGCTTCAAGAAGATTGAAATAGAATATATAACTGGGCAGGAGCTAACAAGCTGGAGTTGAATGCGGAAAAGACCAAGGCAATCCTAATAGGCACCAATAGCCAACTCAAAACTGTTCCTGACATTCCAACTCTGTTCTTACATGATAATCCCATCAAATTTTATCCCACCATCAAAAATCTTTACTGGAAAAACCATGTATCCAATATCTCCCAACGTACCTTTTCCACCCTAAAACACTTAAACAGCCTCCGACACCTTTTTCCTTTTGAAATCTGTAGACTCCTGGTCACCTTAATATTTCCTCACTTTGACTATTGTTGCACGGTATATGGATGCGTCTCTGGGGATCTGGAGGCAAAACTAAAACATTTGATAAATTGCTTTGTATGATTCATCTTCGGGATCCCAAGGGACACCCCTCTTTCCTGTTTCTATGAAGAGTTGAATTGGCTTTATCCTTCCTACCGCCGTAAGTATTTCCTGGCATCCTTCCTCTTCCAAGTCATTCACTCCCGCTGATCTTCATACATATCCGAGCTGCTTCAATTTAAATTCTCTGTCCACTCCCGCAATACCCGTTCCCGGTCTTCAGATTTATATATAATGGCCCACCGAACCGCTGCTATCAATAAATCTTTTATTATTCGATCCTCATCCCTCTGGAACCCATCCTTCCCGACATCCGTCTCTCCCATACTCTCCCTACTTTTAAATCTCGTATATTCAATCACTTTCTTTCCATCCAGTCCCTCTAAAAATGTAAATAGAAACTTCTGTAAATATGTTTCATTTATTTATTTTTTTCTTAATCAATTTAATCTAGAAGATAACTTTTTTTTTTTTTCCTCTATTATATCTATTATTTAACTTTGTAAATATATGTATATATATCTGAGGCTTATAAGCCCACATTTCTGTCCTTGTTAATTATTCTAAAAAGATTTGTCCCAGAATAAATAAAAGAATATTATTATAATTGTTATAAAGTCAACAAATGTGTTTCGATTTTGTTGTTTTGTTCATTGAAAGTGAACCTATGATTGTAATCTTGAATTACATCTTCAATATTGCATTTTAATTTGTATATGAATAAATATTAATTTATATATTTTTATTTTATTAAATTAATCAAAATATGCATTATGTTCAAATATACAAATATATGCATTTGTCCTCAAATATGCAAAATAAAATTTGGCTAATAGCATCACAGTGTACTAATTCGTAAAAATTTTTGATCAGCGGTTAAAAAAAAAATCATGCAAACAAAATATGCAATTGCATAAAAATCCAGGCCTTGGTTATCACCTATCCTTTCTATACAGGTTTTAAGCTGTGACACAAGCTTTTTGATGAACTCCTCATTGAACTCTCCCGCCATCTCCTTTGTCCATTTTAAAATCTTTTGATTCACCTCTTCATTGATTGAAATTTTTATTCCATCTGAGTCTTCAGGAAAGAGAAAAGATAAAAATCTGAAGAAGCCAAATCACGAGAGTGGGTAAGATGGTTCAAAATATCCCCACCAAACGAGTTCGAAAATTCTTTAATGGAATTGGCCATGTGTGGGCGGCCATTGCCATGGAATAAAAAACACGCTAGCTTCATCAATATTCCCCTCGTTTTTTCTTTTAATCGATATCTTAAGTTTTGTAGGATAGAAAATTTGATCGAAATGATCCGTTTTCAGTCCCAAAACACAGATGCCATGCTTTTTTTGCCCGAAATTGAGCTTCTCAATTTTTTGCCAAATGGGGAAGCAGTGTGATGTCACTGTGGTGAATGTCTTTTTCTTTCAGGCGTATACTGACAAACTTGCATATACCATTTTGTCAACTTTAGGAAAAAAATGTTCACAGTACGAGAACTAGGGATCTGACGGTACTGGTGGAGCAGTGATGTGTAACAGAGTCTCAGGTTGGAACAGTGACAACCTGTTCCACTCTCTGGGACCTTATCGGTCCAGTGACAGTGACAGTGAAAAAAGTTTTCTTATCCATTTCCTCACTTAATTTATGAATGTATTAATATGTTATATATTACATTTATTAATCAACAGTCGCTTGTATATTAATTAATCAATACGTAATAGGTTTATCACAAAAAAGACATTTCATTACTTTATATAATTAATTCCTTTATGGAATCAGAAAATTGTGAGCTTGTTGCAACAGTATTCGATATATATAAACGGATTTGTGTCATTTCCATGCATTTACAATGATTTTATATCGAAAAGTAAAGTCGAAACTCACAAAAAGCATATTTGAAAATTAACCTGTATCAAAAATGCATGTAGTATATATATAAAAATATACATAAATCATATTTGTGAATATTAAAATAATAATGTGATTTGTTTAAATGAATTTCAATACCCACAGAAAATATATATTATTAACAGTCTAGAATAGTAAATACTTCAGTATATACTATAGTAAATAGTAAAAATATTTATAATTTTAATTGAAATTTTATTTGTTTGATTATTATTTATTCATTTTCGTAATTGATTCATTCTATTCAAATATTTTTTTAAACTATCTGATACTTGGCACTAGAGAAAACCCCTTTTTACTCAGTCCGCTGCGACTCTACTCACAGACACTGGCTGCTCCGTACCTGTGACTGTCACAGTTGGGCCTTATCGGTACTCCACTGCTCCACCGTTCCGCTGTCACAGTTGATCCTTATTGGCACTCCACTGCTCCACCGTTCCGCTGGCACAGTTGGGCCTTACCAGTATTCTGCCACTGGCACAGAGCAGAGTGGTTTGGAATAAAAATAAATAAAATTAGATGTCTTGAATTCATAAATTGATGAATTTACTAATTCATTTATAATTAGTAAACATAATTAAACATAAAACCGTAAAGACATAAATTAATTGATTTATATTTCAATAAGAAAAATATAACACAAATCTAAACAGTAGATAATATATGAATTGAAAAAAATAAATTGAAGTAAGAACAATTACTAAAAAACTAATAGCATATATAAAGTTAGAAAATACACAAACAACATTAATTCAAAAATATAATTTTTTAATATAAAAATACATTAAATTTTAAGGGTATATATCATTCAATCTGATTAAAATAGATAGTAAATAGGACAGTATTTCCTGAATTAATGCAAATATCGTACAGAATCTAAAGAATGTAAACAATAAAAAAGAGAAAAATATTAATATGAATGAAATAGTGGTGAAATATAATATTCTTTATAAAAATAATTCTAGAATAATTATTTTGACAAAAATTAATGTTCCAAATAATTTAATTAACTTACTCTCACTCAGAGAAATTGAATTTAGATGGTATTAAAATAGATAAAGACATTATTCATTTAATAGTTGATTTTGAGAAAATGTATGCAGGTTATTGATTCATCAGAATGCTATAGATGTGGAATATAAATGTTATTTAATAATAACAAATTACACAAATATATGAAATAATTTTTTCTTTCAGCAACTGGTCTACTTTATACTGTTTGTAAACTACAAACATAATTTAATTTCAATATTATAAATCATATTTAATTTAATATTTTAATATCAACACGATAACTGTAATGTTAGTTTCAATCAATTACCGTATTTTTCAACTACTGATGTGAATGTAATATTAACTTGAGGACATTTAGCAGAATGAAATAAATCCATAAAATATTGAAACATGGTGTGGTTTTAGTGCTTAATATTTTTTACAAAAAGGAACATCGTTTTAGTTTAGACATTTTGAAGGAGTATTGAAAATATCTTTCTTGTTTTTTTTTCTTTGGATGAAGTTCATTTTAAAAATCTATTGATGTAAAAGCAATATCTTGGGATAGATAAAGTGGAGAAAAAAAATTTGGTCAGAGACATCAAATAAAATAAATTATTACTTAAAAGGTAGTTTCCCTTTGACTTGAGTTTATTCTAGACATGTGGAGTGGTTACATTCAGCTAAATTCTCGATTTCAGCAGAAATTTCATTATTTAATTAGGGTAGTAAGTGAAAGTAGTATAAAGTATATGCTGCACCAGATTTTTAATATTATAATATTTATATTTACTTTTTTATATAGGTAATTACTGATTTTTGATGGGGCCGATTCTTTCTTTTTTAATACATGGCTCCATATATTTATTTGTGGAGTATTTGTTCCTTTTCTTTCTTCTTCCACTTGTATTGCACAATGGAACTGTATTCATTTAAAAAAAAAGGTACCATTATAAAATTGTCACTCCATCCTATCAAGTGAGCCAAGATCTCTTGTTTTCCATATAAATATGATTTTCAGAATAACTGAAGATTAACCTTCCTTTATTTAGATCATAATTTATAACTTTGGCAAACTCCTTTTCAGTTAAAATCGGGGCTTTGATTACAAACCTGCCTTCGACTTCTGCTTATTCTAAAGAGATAAACAAACCCTCAACAGGTTCTTATCATTGGAGGTCAGAACCTTTACAAATGAAAGTCAAAAACAAAAATTTCACAGGATATGGACCCATAACACGTTTTGATCAAATAAATCATTCAATATTAGGAATTTTACAAAAAACATTAAACTGACTTAAATGAATAATGGCCTAGACAACATAGGCATCAGTGCTCTTCATGACAGAAAAACAATTTGTGTAGTATGCCCTGATTCAACAACAGTATTATCATCCTGATCCTGACCCACCACCCATCATCCAGATATGAATTTAGTAAATAGTGTTAGTGTACTACTAAATAATGTACTAATAGCAATATCAAGATCTGCATAAACAATCAAAAACTGATTAATAACAGCCTCATTTGTTCTCATATACTGTCAAGTAAATGTAGCCTATCCACTAAAACCGTTAAATAAATAAATTAACTTCATAAACAATACAGCTAACTATTAATATTTAAAAACCTGAAAAAATGTACTAGATTACTAGCAGGAAAAAGACAAATAACCAGAAATATTTAACTTAAAATAGCTTGCCATGTATTGACCTAACTTTTCAACACAAACAAATACCTGATAAAAAAAGGTGAGCATTAAAATTAATGTCGATAATTCTAGAGCAGCTAAAATATCTAGGCTGAATCAAATTAAGATACTTAATGGAAAAAACTGAACATTATTTACTTGTCTCTCATGTTTATTTGCCTGTCATCAAAGTTGTGATAACGTAGGGTGGACTCCATTCTAAAAGAGTCACGATCTACTAGACGTCACGTGTAGAATTAAATTTTAACTATGAACAAGTTCAGAACAATTTTCAAATATAAAAACTCAGTTATTGGAATGATACACGTTGGAGCATTGCCAGGTATGAATATAACTAATCTAATTATAATTGCTGTCAATCATAATCGTTAACTGAACTTAAAATCGAAAGAAACCTTCTCAAGTTTTATTCACAATTATGGAAATTTTGACAAGTTAGGTATAACAAAAACAACAAAAGTTATGTATCTCTATGGCGCCAAAATAGAACGCTTGTCAAATGATTTATGATCTTTACTATCTCTAATTTGCATCAGAAATTTCCTTTCAGTCTTTGTTTCCGTTCACAATCACTTTTGCACACATTATTCTGAGATTAATTACCTAGAGACAAAATCGGTAATTCATTTAATTGAATAAAAATTCTAACATACTTGTATAAGAATATTCATATATTCACTTATACACAGCCAAACTTATACGCCTAATGAATTGATCACTAATTCTTGTTTTCAGAATCTCAAGATATACCCAGTATTTCACCAAGTTGAAGTGGCCCTATCCATCCAACCACCCTCTGAACTTCCTTCCTACCTTTCTATACCAAGTCATCAGAACTCAGCAACCCTTCTATAGTTTTCACAGCCTATAATTTAAATACTCCATTCAATCCCGTTCCATTAGATCCCATACTTCCGACCTCTATCCTCCTCCTCACCGAACTGCTGCGTTTGACAAATCCTTTGTAATCCAAGCTGTCTCCCTCTGGAATTCTTTCCCTCCTAATATACATCTACTTATTTATTATAATATACATAATAAGTTTCCTATTTCAAACCTCTTCTCTTTAAACACCTACTCCTTTCCCAATCAGACTGATCATGAATTGTACCTAAGAGAACTCTATAAGTACCCCTAGACACTATTCCTGTTTATTTGTGTTATTCTATTTTTCGATGTCTGTTTTATATGTATGTATTATTTATATGTATGTACTATTATTCAGTAAATACTTAATTTAAGTATGGCCACACTGGCAATTGCCCTGTAATTATATTTTATTCTAAAGGGAAACAGTCCCAGAATAATAATAAAAATATTTTCACTTCATTTCATCTTATATTCAAGTCCACAAATCTTTTGAGTTGTTGTTTATATGATGGAGGAAAAGAAATTTCATATATTTCTTGGGTTTGTTATCCTTGCTTTTCATACAAGGGATGGTAAGAACAATTTGTGGTTTCGGAGATTCAAACCAGGAAGGGTTATTAATTAATATTAAATTTATCTCTAAAAACATTATCGTTCTTTAATTACAGGTCACGTTTCTAAAAAGCATTTAACAATGTTTTAAGGAACAATTAAACATCATTTCATAAAGGTAGTTTCTTTTTCTTCCAGAGTAATTAATCTTAAAAAAAATAAGTTAAAAGTTTCCCACAAAAATAAATTAAAAGTATTATAAATTTTAATTATAGCTAAAACACTTTTATAGAGTTGTCTCAGTTATAACTGAAAATAAGGATTTCTAAAGACGGTTTTAGCCTCCCTGCTCCTTTCTCTCTACCTTAAACCCTTTGATATTTCTTTAACAACCCCTTTCTTTCCCCATTAACTGTTTATTTTTTCTCTTTTTCATTTATATTCATTTAGAGTTTATTGCTATAAGTAGATGTATTTTGTATGAAAATAAATTCTAATTTGTTAATTTTCTAGCCATTTATATTGTTGGCTTCAAGAAGAGCTTTGTATAAGCCTATAAGCTCTTCTTGAAGACTAAAGAATAAACAATCAATCCATCCCTCTCAAAAAAATATAATTAATAAATATATAATGATGTACAGATGGTTGAGTGTGATATAATATAAGAAGGAGCTGGTCGGGGGGTGCGTTCAAATAAAATATTTGACCACACCCCCAGACCAACTCCTTCTCATAATAAATTTATAGATGCTGTCTTATAAATAGTTCTTGGTTCCAAAGAAATATATATATTTTCCTATATTAAAAATTATAAGTAAACAATGTTTATTTATATTTTCAATATAAAAATTAATCTGTAAACATGATTTTAGCAGCCTTTTATTTTTTTAGGAACACCAAAATATGAAGGATCTGTCCAGAAATTAGTTGAAAATGCCTGCTTCGAAGCCAATATTTATGAAAATTCCGGTGTGGTAAGGCATAGGTTCTTTAACTGTACTCCATTCAATGATATACATAGCCATTACTGGAGGTCTGCAAAATAATGTTGACATACTTATAGCATCCATTGTACAAGGTGATATGACTGAGATGATGCTCAACTGCCAAGTTTGCCCTTTTGACTAATTGATTAATTTAAACTGTCCATTTTATAAAGGTTATGTGTGCCCCAGGAGGATCCCCAACTCCACAGTCAATCCTTAGCTGATGCAACAGAATAAATAATTATCTGCAACATCCTGACTCGAACCCAGGAATTGAAGCATAGGAGCAGTGTCTTACTCACTGATCTACCCAATTCCTGTTAATTAATGTAACAGGAGAGGATCCACAAGATAGGCATGACTGAGGATCCTAGTTGTAAATTATGTGATAAAGCAAAAATGGATGGATACCAACTAGACACATGTTCTGCTTTGACGGACATAAGAAATAAAGCATTTGGAAATGAATACATAAAATAATCTGGTGTGTCCACTCACAGGACTTTCCTACCTATTTCAGAAAAGTATTTATATCTTTACATATGTCCATCAAGAGATAAAAAACAAATGAATTAGATTTATTTTTCTGAAAATTGATTAAAGAAAAGATTTGAGTACAATTTATTTGATAAACTAAAGCAGTGTAAACCGGCTTAAGGTAGATCAGTGTGAAAATTCCAATACCCTCTGATATTGCTGAAAGCCATTAACTTTTTGAACTAGCAAAAATTAACTTTTTGCCATAGCCTAATTTTGTAAAATAATAATTTCTGTTAAAATTAGCAGAAATAGTAAAGCTTGTATGATGGGGCAACAGATTTTCTACTTTCACTTAGTTATCTTTTTTCTCTCATTCAACACTTTCTGACACCTGGATATGAACCCGTAATCTTACATTGGAAATTGAATAGCAATAACTTTGTTATTAGTTGTCTGAAATGAACGATTTTTATATAGTTTTGTAGGGAATTTCATTACCTTTAAAAAAAAAAAGGAGGCTAAACGGTGTTTTCGAACTTGAAGGTTCTAAACCGTATAGATCCGTCGAAAACCACATATCGGAAACTTGACCCGATCGCAATACTTTCCTTACCTAGTATAGGTAGAAAAGTAATAAATTAAAACATGTGTAGAAACTAGAATAAGCTATATCATCGCTAATACTGGTTCGATTCCGATGATGTTTGTTTTGTTTTGTTGGTAATTTAATTACCTTTCAAAAGTTTTATTATAAATTTTACCATGGAATATATACTGCTACATCCCCTCCGGGGTTTTTAGATTTTATCAGGATGCCACTGGATAATTATTGATGATAATCATCCAGAATTAATTAATAAAATATTAGTTAAACAAATTATGTTATTTAACATAATGGTCCATGATTAATTTATTGGATTACTTCTCACAAAGGCTTGTTATGTGTTTATCATACTCTCTAATTAACAAACATAACCTGTGATTATAATGATATAAATAGGTGGCATGATTAAAATAACTTTTATTTACAAATTATATTTACAAAAATTAATGATCTATGATTAGTAATTGGTTGTTCTATTGCCCCTTAAGTGTTCTATTGCCCCTTAAGTGTTCTATTGCCCCTTAAGTGTTCTATTGCCCCTGCTAAAAGGTTGCTAGGGGGTCTCAGGTATCCCGACCACTATCTAAGTAACCACTTTCCTACGTAATTATGTTGACGGTCCTTAGGTGTTCTTACCTCTGTAAGAGTCGTGTCGCTCCATTGGGGTTCTTAAGTGTTTTCTTGCCATTTACTAAAGGTTGCTAGGGGGTCTCAGGTACCGCCCAAGTGTTAGCAATTATCTTTAGAATACATATTGGGAAAAGAAAAAATTAAATAAACTTAGTTGATTTGATTTTTTCTTTAAATATTATCAATTAACATTAGGCTATATTCAATACATAGTAATACTTAGCGAGTTAGGCCACAAAACATTATTCTTTTCTTTATCACTTTTTTTCCTGATTTTTTGGGGGGAATTTAGTCTATGTACAAAAACTGAAAGGACGATTATTAGAACATTATAGAAAAGTTTCATCAAAACTTTAGAGTTTAAATGTTACAGCCTTTTTCGCGCTACAGTCTATAGAAAAACATGTTTTTAATTTATTGTGCAGCAGCTATTGCACATGAAGCACCCAATTTGTGTCACTGGCATCAGTAGTCAAAACCTTATCAAATAAAAAAAGAATCATCAAAATCGGTTCTCTAGTTCCCAAGAAGATCATGGTCCAGACAGACAGACCAATGGCTAAAAATGTGTTTTTCTAACTCAGGGAGCTCTGAAACGTATAGATCCGTTGAAAACCGCATATCGGAAATTTGAGTCAATTGCAATACTTTCCTTACCTAGGTATAGGTAGGAAAGTAACCAAACTTATATTGGGCAGCAAGATGTCGGATGGTCGAATGACCAATGACTTTGGCACAGGAAAAAAAAAGCTATTTATGAAGAAGCCTATTCTTGCTTGACCAGTTTTCTTATCCGGACCTCTGTTTAATATGGAAAACTCCTTTTTATCAATTTGTCCATTTCCACTCCATCTTATTTCTTTCAATGCCACAATATCTCTATTGTGTTTTATTAGCTGGTTGACAATTTCTTAAATTTTGCTAGATCTTAACACTATTAACATTTCATGTGATGTAATGAACCTCAGATTATTTTCATTGTAGTCTAATCCGTTGAGTGTGCTGTCTTTTACCATTAGAAACATCTGACTTTTCTTTTAACTCAGTTTTCTGAACAATAAACCTTTTCCGAGGAGGGGTCGTTGGCAATTTTCTTTTCTTTTTCTGCACCAAAAAAAGAATTTGATTGATTTATAATAACCTACAAAACCAGGCAAAGCAAAGAAAAAAAAGAATAACATAATTTTTTTTTTTAATTATGTAACATTTTTTTTTTTTTATCATCTGTTTAATATTTTTCAATTTATTGGGTTGTCCGGAAAACAATGCAGCATTTTGGCTTAAAAAGAAAAAAGAAAGATTTACATCTGTTTTATTTATTCAAAATAGTCTCCACTATAATGAATACATTTCTGCTAACGTTTTAGCAACTTTTCCATTCCTTTGGAGTAGAATTTCCAATCTTTAGAATTGATAAACTTCAAAAACACATTTTCTAATTCACTTTGTCCATTAAATTTTTTATCACATAAGTCGTGATCCAGGTGTCTAAAAAAATGATAATCCGTAGGAAATAGGTCTGGAGAGTAGGGCGGATGTGGCAGTTTCATATTCCAGCTCTAACAGTTTTCGTGACGTCACACATGACATGTGGCCGGGCGTTGTCATGCAACAAAATGGGCCCCTTCCCATTGACCAAAGATGGCTTCATTATTGCCAATTTCTGATGCATTACTTTAATTTGGTTACAATATGATTCGGCATTGATGGTTTTTCAGGATTTAAGAAGCTGTAGTGTATCAAACCAAATGAAGCCCACCAAACAGTAACCATCGCCTATTTTTGATGAGTTGAGGGCTTTGAAAAATGTTCTGCTGCTTCTCCTTTGTCGAGCCACTGTCCAGAACATCTACTGTTATCATAAAGTATCCACTTTTCATCACAAGTAACAATTCTGGACAGAAAAGGGTCATTTTTGTTTTGGCAAAGAAGTGCAGAACAAACTTTATAATGCTGATTTTTGTAGCTGTCGTTTAATCTGTATGGAACCCAATTTTCAAGATTTTTTACCTTTCCAATCGCCTTAAGGTTGTCATCGACGGTCGAATTACTAAGGTTGAGTTTCCCTACAAGTTCTCGAACAGCTGTTCTGTGGTTTTCTTCCAAGACCTTCTTTGTCTTCAAGGCTGAATTTCCCTACCGAAATTTTTTGAACCTCCGTTGAACAGTGCAATCATTAATACTGAAAGGGCCCGAGACTTGATTGATGTTTCTGGCCGCATTCCGGCCGAGTTTAAATTCTTCAAACAAAATTATACGAAAATCACGCATTGACATCTTAGTACAGACTGAATTATTTCTAAGCAGCGAAATGCTACAGAGAAACAAACATTATTGCTTGGAAGAGTATTAATAAGTGTTGACGTTCATACAAATGAATATTCCAGTAAATTTAAATAGTTTATTATATAGAGGGGTATTTTAAAGAAAACTCAAAATCCTGCATTATTTTCCAGACAACCTAATAGAAAAAAAAAAAAAATGTTGTCGAAACCTGTTACTCACTAACTGTGACCTCCGATAAGTTTAAATAAAACACTTAGCTGTAATCCATGAAATATATTGATAGTTAATAGAAAAGCTTCTGAGGATGTAAATAAAATATATCACAACTAATATTTTATGTTACATGACAATAGGAGCTATGATAATAATAATGATGGTGAATTTATTAATTACTAAGCAATCTCATGAAAGTTAGATAACATTTATTTTAATTATTCTACCAATTTTTTTCCAAGGGTCTTATTTGTTTTTTTAATTTGAAATTAAACACTTCAATTTTTTTCATTAGTTGGTCCAGCTCATATTTTTAAGATATTTGGTTCACCTTTCAGTTCATAATGCTGTATTAAATTGTTTGGGTTCTGCTTTTATCTACAATATCAAATTTATATTTTATATTTAACTTTACAAATTATCTTATCCTATTTTAATTATAAAGCTCCTCACATATTCTAAATCACCAATTATTAAATTTTAAAATTAAACAATAGTATAATATTGTTTAAAGAGATTAAGATATTAGCAATTTAGTTACAATATTAATTTAATAATTTACCTTATAATTTATTTAGTCCCTGTAATCATTAATGAAAATATTTTTTAAAAAATTGTTTTTCATCCATTTTATTGACTTGTTTCTGTCATGTAAAATTTATATTAATCAAAGATAAATTATAACCCAAATAACTTATAATCATACTTAAATCATGAGAGCTGAACCTTTTAGAAATGAACAATCGATTATAGACTACCTTCTGGTCTCAAAAGAATTAAAAAGAACATGGGACATTAGAGTCAAGAGAGAAGCCGAACTGAGGACAGACCATATGCTACTGAAAATGGAAATGGTTCTGAAAAGCCCAAAAATAATAGCTTTGTGTCCAATATTATTATTTTTGAGGTTAAATTTATTTGATACAAATGAATAAGTTATCTATAATTTATAAGAAAAAAAAATAGTATCTTCCATGATACCTCTTTACTATGCCATTGCATTGTAGTGTATTATATTTACATTGTAATATTTACTCTGTAAGTAAGATAATATTCTTGAAAATTCTAAATTTATGTAATGTTAGTCAACTTAAAAAAAAAAATGTGATAACACTTAATCATATTATTCCAACAGGATGCAGTTATGATTGAAAATATGCATGATATACCATATGTGAAATCAAAGGAATTAGGACCAGAAATAGTGTCTGTTATGACAAGAATAGCTACAGAAGTAAAGAAAGTTATTCCTCACATTCCTTGTGGAATTCAAGTAATAACAAAATTATTATTATACTATAATTTGATTTTCAATAGAGTTCATATGTACTTTTCCTTATCTTGTGTTATCAAAGTAAAGTAGGGTTAAACGCTTAATAATGGAAATTAACTAATCTGAAAAATATGTTAATAATAATATGGAGAAGATCCAATTTGCAATATCCATCCCATGCATATACATATCCCTTAGGATGGATAATGTTATATGATAGGGATATTTCCGTAGTCAGGTTTTTGTTTTCAATTTAATTGTTTTACTTTTTAATTTAAATATGTATGTATTTAATTACCAATTGTAAATGTTACCCTATACATATGATACTTTGTAAAATAATCTATCTTGTTATTAAACAGTAGAAATAAAAAGACATTATTTAATTTCTGTAAAGTGAATAAGAAATTATCTATTTATAGCTTTTATTTTATTATTTTCAGATTTTAGCAGGAGGAAACAAAGAAGCTTTGTCAATAGCAAAAGCATCTAATTTGCAGTTTGTTAGAGTTGAAGGATTTGTTTTTAGTCATATAGCAGACGAAGGGTTGATTGATGCTTCAGCTGGCCCTCTTTTGCGATACAGGCGTTCTATCGATGCTGAATCAGTCCTGATTTTTTCAGATATAAAGAAAAAACATAGGTATTCCAAAGTGACAATCATTTCACCATTTAAAACAAAAGAAACTTAAACAAGTTTTTTATGATAGTGTGGAAAATATTTTAGCTCTCATCAAATTACGAGTGATGTAAGCATTGTTGAAACAGCTTTAGCTGCTCAGTTTTTCTTAAGTGATGCAGTTATTCTTACTGGATCAACTACAGGATCACCAGTCAATCAAAATGAACTCAATGGTAAAATAGGTGTAATCATTTTTAGAAATAATTATATTCATAGTTTTCAATTTTTCATACGTTAAAATTTTTAAAAAGAAACAAAGTCTGCTGTCGAGATACCAGTGATTGTAGGATCTGGAGTGACTATTAAGAACATGGATTGCTATATAGAAGCAGATGCATTCATTATTGGGTCGCATTTTAAAAAAAATGGAAAGTATGTGAAGTCAATAACTATAACAATTTATTGGAATAGTTTTAATATCAACTATATTTCTGTTTATATTTCAGGTGGGAAAATGTCATAGTTGAAGACAATGTTAAATTATTTATGGATAAAATAAATAAATTGCGAACAACTGCCAAATGAAAATATTTATAAATAACAGTTAAGAAATTACTTCTAAAATATTGTATATTAAATCAGACTTAGCTAAGCATAGTGCTAGTTTATTAATGGACAAACATTCAAAAGCTCTAAAACTGTTTAAATTTCATGATAGTATATTTTAACATGAAATCACCAAAACATAAACATCATCAAATATATTTTGTTATTTTTTACTTGAATATCTGACTTTACCATATGCATATACAGGCACTAGAAGATCCAGCCGGGGGGAGCTTGAAAAACAAAACAAAAAAAGTTCCAAAAAAAAGAAAAGAGAACTATAGGGAAAATTCATCCTCATAGACGAATTTCCTAACATAATATAAAAAAAAATATATATATATTATCGTGACCAGCACTAGCGAATTCTGCCAGGGGGCGCACCCTTCTTTGGATGGTGGAAAAAAAGTTCCAAGAAACACCTGTTTAAAGAAAAGAGAAATATAGGAAAAATTGATCCTCATAGACAAATTTACTAATTTGGTATTAAAAAAATTATTTTCATGATCAGTACTAGTGGATGCATGGATGGTGAGAAAAAAGTTACAAAAACCAGCTATTTAAAGAAAACAGAAATATAGCCAAATTCATCATCATAGACTAATTTTCTAATGTAATATAAAAAAAAAGTTATTGTCGTGACCATCACTAGTGATTTCTGCCAGGAGGCGCGCCTCTCTCTGGATGTTAGAAAAATAATTGTGAAAAAAGTTTTAAAAAACAGCTATTTAAAGAAAGGAGAAATATAGGAAAAATTGATTCTCATAGATGAATTTCCTAATTTAATATTAAAAAAAAAAAGACTATCGTGACTAGCACATTGTGCTCCCCTTAAATAGTGGAAAAAAAGTTCCTATAAGACAAATTTTCTAATGTGATCATCATCATCCCGACCTTGACAGTACATTACTGGATCTTGGCTGTCTCAACAGATTTTCTCCATGTTTCTCTGTCCTCAGCAGCCTTCACCAGTTCTTGATTCCAAGGTTCCATTCTCATCAGCATCCATCTTTCCATCTCAGTTTCGGTTTGCCCACTTGTCCATCCCTACAACTTGGACCTCCCATCTCAGCTTTGCTATACGGATATATTTCACCACATCCGGCTCTTTGTATAAGTATAAGTTGGCTAGTTATTGGTGGCGTCTAATTCTCTATTCATCATTCTCCTTAACTGGGCCAAATATCTTCCAAAGAGCCTTCCTTTCGAAAACTAATATTTTAAGCAGCTGTGAAAAGAGAAATATAGGAAAAGTTCATCCTCATAAACAAATTTTCTAATGTAATATATATATAAAAAAATATTGTTGTGACCAGCACTAGTGAATCCTGGATGGTGGAAAAAAAAATTCCAAAAATCAGTTATTTAAAGAAGAGATAAATATAGGGAGAATTCATCCTCATAGAGGAATGTTGTAAGGTAATATTAAAAAAAATTATTATCATGACCATTTTTATTCATCTTACGGTTAGTCATATCACGTCACCTCACCTGGCTGTGGTCAACTTGCATCCGGATTACGGCGCACGGCTAGATTTTGTGAAACAAAAAATAGAATGTAAGAGCAAAAGTTGGCTCACAGGGTGAAGTGATGTAGTTTTTGGACCACCGTGAGATACAAAGGCTTGTGCTCCTGTCACAGTTTGTTGCTACTTACTCCGAACTGAGTCTCGCAGGTGAAATTCATTAATTCAGCTTAATTTTTTGTTTCGAACTTTTATTCGAGCTCAAGAAAATACCGTTTTTCCCCAGGACTCAGTTTTATTCAGTTCCAATAGATCTGGAAGCATTCCAGCAACTATAGTCTTAAAGGATCCATGCGATTCATAAAATTGGTGACAATAATAATTTGTAACTTTCTCATTAGAAAGTGTTGTTCTTTTCTTAAAATAGGTGCTGTTGGGAACATTTTCATGAAGGAAGGTACTAATTATTTGGTATTCGATTTGATCAAAATCTGATTATGATCGGAATCGGAAATTATTCTGTTTTTTTTTCTTAGAAAACTCATTTCCAAGCTGCAGGACCATTTATAGTAATCTTTCTCAGCTTTTGACAATGTTGGTAAAAAATAGTGTTCATTGACCATGGTTATCGACCATATTACGTAATTAAATTATTAAGTTAAGGTACTCGTTCGACACACAATTTGACGTTCTTTAATTTCTTAAAGAATACGTTTTTCACTTTGATGCACTGTTTATTAGTAATACATGAAACAAACAATCAGATAAATCTGGAGTTAGAAATTTTATTTTTACATGTTTAAATCCATATAAAAGGTCTCCCGTAAGAAGAGAGAAATATTTAAATGAGTGATAGTTGGACCCAAGAAATACAAAAAAGTTTATATAAACAATGGTTCAATTTTCAGGAGGAAGGTAGGAAATTAAAGTTTTGTGATTTTTTAAGAAAGCCACATTTGTTGTTGAATAGGAAGTGATAACTAAAAAACTATTTAATTTAAATAAATAACGATTGCTTCACTAGACAAAATTTACTTTGAATAAAACTAGAGTTTGCTTTTGTTTAAACCATTCAAAGAGGACTTTTGAGCAGCGAAAGTCAGCTAAGGAGTGGAGAGAGATGGGTAGTGGTGGGAGAATGGGTAGAGTGGGAGAAGCTCATGGTACGAGGTTAATTAGTTCTACAATGTATGATCTTTCATTTTTATTTTTATGTTTACATTCTAATTCTATGTACGGCCTTTCATTTTTATTCTGTATTTGCATTGTACTTTTATCTATAATTTCTGAATTCTATCATGTACGTATATGTATATACTTACAATTAATTAGTTCATAGATATTATATTTTTTCTAGTATTCATCAATGTCTTCAAATTTTAGATACTGTAATATCCTTGGTTCTTGGTTTTGTTTTACTACTTACTCCCACCACCCCTCCCCCAACAATGTCAGTTTTTCCCCCAAGATTTGACAGTCAACTGTAACTCCTTGCTGCATACACATGCAAGTTTCTATTTCTTTTTAAGTCTTATTATTTTCTGTTTTCTTCACACCTCCTTTTATGTACACTATTTTTTATTATTTTTCTTTTAATCTTTCCTTGAGATTTGTAAGATTATATTCATAACGAATATTATCCATTCTCCTTATTACATTCAATTTTCTCTATCTACAATAATTGTTACTTTTTCATAATTGGTAATTGGTTGACTGTCGTGGATAATGAAGAGAAGAATAGTTGGGGTGGTCAGTCAAAAAGGAAGGCAAAAATAAATGATAATATTTATTTTTTACATATGCCGACGTTTCGACCTGAAGTTCAGGCCTTCATCAGGGCTAAGAAAATAACCAGATAACAAGGTATGAGAAACATAAGTAGTGATGGTAAAAAAAAAATTACAAAAATAAAAAAAATTAGAAAAATAAAATAAATAAATATAAAGTAAAATGAAATTGTTAGAATAATGACTAAGAACTAAGAGATAAATAATAATAACCGTTACAAAGTGTAGAATGATGAATTAGGCATAATAAAAAAAGGTGACATAAGTGTTACAATGGGAATCTTAGAATAAAATGTAAAACATAAAAAAGAAAATGAAGTTATATAAGAAATGAAAATAAATAGTAAAATTAAAACATTGAGAATGGAGTAGTTAGATAGAAAATTGAGATATTGTAAAGTCTATCAAGATGTACAGACAATGTATAATATAATAAGAGTTAAAAACAGAGAAAAGGAATGAAAGGAAGGAGGGAAGAAATTGAGAAAGCTGAAATAACAAAGAAATAAAAGAAGTACTACCTGTCTCCTTAAGTGTTGCAGGGAGAATAAAAGTCGTTACAAGGGAGGGGGAGAGAGAAGAGATGTGTAGGTGGCGTCATCTCTAACGGTTATCCGACGAAGTTAGAACTAAAGCGCTGGAAGCGTAAATAGGTACGAGAGATATATTACTCAGAAAAATTATGGAAAATTGAACGAAAGTTAATAGAAAGTGAAAGAAAAATAACTATTGAGTAATAAGGGAGAATAATTGAAATAAAAATATATCATATATATATATATATATATATATATATATATATATAAATATACACACATACATACATACACACACACCCACATATATATGTATGTATGTATATATATATATATATATATATATATATATATATATATATATATATATATATATATATATACATACATACACACACACATATACACACACCCACATATATATGTATGTATATATATATATATATATATATATATATATATATATACACATACACACACACATATACACACATATACATATACATACACACACATATACATATAAGGAAGTTGTCAGCAAAAAGGAAAGGAATATAACTATGGATGTTTTAATAAATTCAGAATTTGGGAGTAGGCTAAAGAAAAGTTCTGTTAGTCAGTTTTTAGATTCACTGTCTTTGGTTGAAGCTGGATGTGGAGAGTTTCAGAAATGAGTCGTTTGTCATGGTTGAGAACTGTGGCAAGGATGGATGTTTTGTCGAAATCAAATGAATGATTGAGGGAGAGAGAATGTTCGGATAATTTGGAAGCGGTAAAATTACGAGAGGATACAGAATATTTATGTTGGGTTATGCGGTCTTTTAGGAGATTTTTGGTTTCACCAATATG